TTGCATTACCTGCTTCTGATCCTTAGTTCATGTTCTGTTTCTGGGGGACCCCTACAATGACAGCACTCGCCTTTCCATGGAGGACCTCGGGACCCCTGGAAATCCCCCCTAAACTAGTTCTCAAAGGGGACCCTCCTGTCGGCTCACAGCCCCACGGTGCAGCTGCAGCCATCCCAGGGCATACCCCAGTCATGGGTTCAGTTGGTGTGAAGGGGAGACTTGGGAAGGTGTCCCATCCTGGGCCAGAGTGGTTGCTGGGGGCACAAAGGTGAGAGAGACAGGCTCGGAGCCAGCCCTCAGGGCGCTCCCACGCTTTAACAGAAGACAAGCACAAATCACATTACCACACAAATCACCGCGCAGTGATAATCCTCAGCAAGTGCTGAAAAGCAGAACCACGGGGTGCCATGGAGGAGAATAACAAGAGGGCCTAATCCAGTCGCGAGTGTGAGGGAGGCTTCCCAGTGGGGCTAACCTGCCGGCTGAGACAGAGGGTGCACAGGCCCTGGGGGGGGTGTGGGGGTGGGGTGAGGTGGGGAAGACAGGTCGGGCAGAGGGAGCAGCTCTGCAAAGGCCCTGGGGAGAGGAGCGCGTGCCTTTCCACACCAGCTGTCTGACTGTGGGCCTCCCAGGGCTCCTGAAGCCATCAGAGCCATCCAGGGGGCAGGAGCCGAGCCAGGGCTGGCAGAGGCCCCCTCCTAACTCTGTGCCAAACTCGGTCCCCCGGGGCCCCGCGGCGGCTCACGGCTGTCTCCCCCGCAGGCTGGGGAGGCCACCAGCCCCTCTCTGCTGAGAACTGCACTCCCCGGGTCCCTTGGACATGGCCTTGCTTTGGCCAATAAAATGCGAGCAGAAGTGATAAAGTCCACTTCCTAGAGCAGGTCTTTATGATCCGAGGCACAACTGCGGTACTCCTTCCCCTCTGCCATGGCAACTGGAAGTGTTCCAGACGGGCCAGCCCTGTCTGTCTAGAGGACTGACAAGTCAGCTGACCCTCAGTAATCATGTAGCATAAGCAAGAAATAAACCTTTGTTGCTTTAAGCGACTGAGATTTGAGGGCTCCTGCTGTGGCACGGTCCAGCCAACCCTGACAAACAAACCTGAGAAAACCGCTCCGGGGAAGACACTCACAGCACACACAGGCAGGGTTGCACAGTGGTTACTGCACCACCCCCGAGACCTGCCGGCTCACGCTTGAATCCTGGCTCTGCCACCTTCTCATTGAGAGACACCGGGCTAGTTGCTCAAGCTCTCTATGCTTCTGTGTCTTCATCTATAAAATAGTAATGATTGTATTTACTACATATTCTTGACAGAATTATGTAAGTTCATTCATGTAAAGAGCTTGGAAAATTGCCAGGCACAGAGTAAGTGCTCAATAAATATTAGCTTTAATATTAACATTTCTTTAAAAAACAAACAGCAGTTGGATGCCGCAGGTGGCCCAGATCCTTCCTTTGGAAAAATATTATCCAAAGGAAACCTCACTGGCATCAGGCCTTCAGAAGGGGCAACTCTCTGTATGCAAACTCAAATGTCTCCAAGGAGGGGCAGCAGCATCAACATGTTTAGCGCTTTTTTTTCTTGTTTGATAGAGGCCTGGATACTGGGAAAAGGTAGCTCAGCTGGTAAAGAATCCGCTTGCAGTGCAGGTGACCCTGGTTCGATTTCCAGGTCAGGAAATTCCCCTAGAGTAGGTAAGGCTACCCATTCCAGTATTCTTGGGCTTCCCTGGTAACTCAGATGGTGAAGAATCTGCCTGCAGTGTGGGAGACCCAGGTTTGATCCCTGGGTTGGGAAGATCCCCTGGAGGAGGGAATGGCAACCCACTCCAGTATTCTTGCCTGGAGAATCCCGTGGACATTGAAGTCCACGGGGTCGCAAAGAGTCAGACAAGACTCAGCAGCTAAGCACAGCACACAGCTGTAACAAAAACAGTGATGCAAATGGCAAGTGATAGTTGATATTCAGTTTCTGTGCTGGGTGAAAGTGAAACTGATGGTTGCTCAGTCGTGTCTGACTCGTTGTGACCCCATGGACTATACATGGATCTTCCCGACCCAGGGATCGAACCCAGGTCTCCCGCATTGCAGTGGATTCTTTACCAGCTGAGATACAAGGGAAGCCCTCTGTGCTGGGGGCCATGGGTAATGCGGGTGCATGCGGGTAGAGGAACATGGAAGAGGGCATCCCCCATTCAAAGGGGCAGCTGGGACCCCCACAAGAATGCAGGGGCAGTGATGCTAGATTTTCAGCTGGTTTTAACAGGAGATTCGGCTTTTAAAATGTGAACTCATTTAAAACATTGTACAGGGCCAACCCCTCATATGAGAAAGTTGCAGTCTGTGCTTTGCATCTCCTGTTCTCAAGGCCCTGCTCTTACATGCGGCAGATGTTCAGATATTTGCAACACTAAATGTTTGAGTTATTTAAATGGCTTCTCCAGTACCTAGGTAACACCTCCCCAAAGATCCACTTAGGCCTCCACCTCCTGCAAACAAAATCACTCTCATTTCTGAAATGGCAATATTTTCAGGGTCCACCACCGAGTCCAGGTCACCCAGATTGTGGTCTCTGTCTCAGTCTGAGTTCAAACCAATATGAGTGATGTGGCTGCAAACACTTGGCAGTCTTTGGGGAAAGCAGCTTGTCCGGGTTCCTGGCCTCAACAGGGGGTCTGAAGTGGAAAGGGGGCAGTGTGAGCCAGCCCGGAGTCCTCACCAGCTCCACAAACCTCTCCGGGCCAATACTTGGAAGGCGTAGGCGTCTGAGGCCACTTTGAGGAAGCAGTCCCCACTGCAGCCCGGGAGCTATGCTGCCTGCCATCCGCGTGGGATGGGAATGTGGATGGGAGTTGGGAATGTGTCCACATCCCTCCCCCACCGGTAGGCAGCCAACAGCAGGTGGGCTCGGGTTCGGGCGCAGGGGTGGGGGCCTTCCACTCCTTCCCTGCCCTGCCAATGATGGAGAACGGTTGGAGAGTAGGAAGCTACCTCCTCCCCTTCTTGCCTGTTACCCTTGGCCTGGGGTGACCATAATTTCACATCAGTAAAGCAGCAGGATCCTTCAAGCTGTTACCAGTGACTTCTGAGTTGACACCAGGCAGATCACTGAAATTTTTTTTTTGATGATTCAGTCTCTTATCTGTACCGTAGGTGTAATAATAGCATCTTCAGAGAGTCATGTGTCACATAATTCATTAGCATTTTTAAAACCTGGTGAGCTTCTTAGGGGGAGAGATGGCTTACCCCACCCTCCACCCCGCACCACTCCATATGACCCTGATCCCCCTATGTGAATGTCTCCATTTTCTGGTAGCAGAATGGGAGAAATGCTTTTGAGAAACATGCTTTAAAATACTTCATGATGATGCATTAATACTTCACACAACTGTCAGTGTTTCTCACTGCAATTTATCTTTCCATGTGGGTTTCTCCAAACAGAGCTGGCAGATTTTTTTGTTCCCCAGTCCGACCTCAATTCCAATTCCAGCCTTTGTCTGGTTTCTTGCATGTGGTCTAAACACATAACCTCACAAACATGGGAATGAATTGGTTTTTAATCAGTAGGAGAACAGAGGGTCTTCACTGGGTAAGGAAATGTGGAGAACCTAACGTTCTGGAAGAACAAAAAACCTTTCTAGAGACTTTTCTTTTCCCAGAGTCATCTTCATTAATATTAAAAGACTTTTGCTGCCACTTTAAGAGATGAAGCTTTGTAACACGTCTGTAACTAGTGCAGAACAAATTAATTTATTGCAGGTGGGTTCCTAACAGCGGCCAGGGGAACCTGTTAGTTACACGTCCACCCTTCCAGCAGGTACACTGGGACTGACTCTTTCTCCTGTGGGACTCTGAAGGCAAGACAAGGGCTCATGACTCCCAAGAAGAAAGGAGCAAGGTATTCTCCCATCTCCTCTAGGCACCCACAGAAGCAAAAGACATAGGCATTATGCACAAGCTGAGGATCTGGTTATTCTATATTCTTTCGTTACTCTCCAAATATTCTTGGCCCTACATTTACAAAAGTGAGGGCACGGTGGGGAGGGGCATAGGAGTTAGGCATAAGTTAGGCATCCACACATGCTTACCAGCCCCTGGTGACCATGAGTACATAGGTGGGCCTCAGCCAGCAGGGGTCCAGAGGCCAGCCAACTCTGGGCAATCATCCTTCATTAGGTCACGGTAACACACCACTGGGGCTCCCCAAACATTGGCTAATGAAAACACAATAGTCCAGTAGCCAACCCAGCTCTGTGGTCAGACGTCCCCTCTGATTGGTTGGTGCCTGTGCCTTCTGGGTTATTCAGTATTTTCATAGCAATGGGCAAGGAAGAAGCTCATGGGTCTCAGTCATCCATGTGTACGAATTCATTCATCTTCATACAGTTTCCCTCTGTAGGAACTGTTAATATGCCCCATTTCACAGGTGAGGAAACTGAGGCTCCAATTACATCATTTGAGATCAGTCAACCAGCTAGATAGGGAGGATTCTCCTGTGGGAGGCACGATTCCAGGCTGACTCGCTCATCTTTGTGCTCCCTGGCACAGGGGGAGCGCTCAGTAAACAGTTCCCGGGTGAATGAACAAAAGAGTGAATGATTGTCCAGGGGCCCACACTACTCCATTTCATGGTGATGCCTTCTCGGGGAATAAGGGCCCTTTTGATTTCTCATATTTTGCCTCCTCTTCCAGCCCCTGATAATTGAGCAGCCCAGAACGAAGCAGGCTGGCAGGGAAGCCAAGCTCACAAAGCACCCTACCCTTGGCTAAGAACGATACGCCTCCTTCCCCACCATGGCCTCCACTCAAGCCCCCCTCACCCCTGAGGTTCCAGTCACCCTGGCACAAAGGGTGTGGCCTCAGCTCTGTCCTCACCGGCTGGGTATCCTTGACCAAGTCTCTGAGTCTCCACTTCCTCATCTGTAAAATGGGACAAATAATACAGCCTACTGTGCAGACTAGATGAGCTCAGGTTTCTGTGGGGTTTAGCACGGTGATTATGTCACAACAACAGTGCAATTGCAGGAAATGTCACAGAATGTGTGAGAGGGTCCTCTGTGCCAGTCTCTCTGCTTTTGAGTATTTGGAAGTTTTATACTATATTTTAAATAAAGGGACCCATACAAGTACCTCAAGGATGCATTAGAACTTGTTCCTAAGGGAAAAGGAGGTGGACACCCCCAAGGGCTCCGGCATGTCTGGAAGGGCTGGAGAGGGTGGTGTGTGGAGTCCTGCAGAAAAGCCACTGTTTCCTCCCTAAGCCCAAGAGGTTTATCAAGTTCTCCACAAACAGAAGTCCTGCCTCGAGGCTCCAAGCTGAATCCACTAAACCAACAATGAAAGCCCCATTGTTGGGAATCTAGAAAAGCCAAGAGTGTGATAATGAGAATGTCCTCATTCATCTCTTATCCCGCCTGGATTCATAACGTGTTCTTTCATCCCCACCCACTTACCCAAGCCACGGGCTCTCAGATCCCTGGACCCACAGGACCCACGGCCATCACCTCCTGCAGGCATGACTTTCTCCTTGGTTCTTTACTTCTTGACCCCAGATATTTCATCCATTTCTGGGCTCTGTCCCATCTCTGCTGGCCCAGATGGCCATTCAAAGGCACTTGACAGGACTCGCAGGAGGGCTCTGGGCTCGCGCTTCGTGCTGTTCATTCTTTTCGAGGTGATGATAGGATTGGAGTTGGCCCCGTGACTCGCCTTGTGATATGGGGTTAGCTATGTAACTTGTTTTTGCCGATAAAACATGAGTGAAGATGAAGCGTGCCACTTCCAGGCAGGAGCTTTAAGAGCCAGCAAACCCCGAGCCAAGCTCTTCCCCTCGGTCATGCAGCTGGCAGCGTCAGCTGCAGCTCCTCTGTTGACCTGTGTCCTGCAGTGAGGCTGACAGATGTGGGGCGGAGCCCCCAGACTCCCAACAGTGTGGATGAGCATGATTGGGAGATAAATCCTTTTCCTTTTGTGCCCCTGAGGTTTGGGGATTGTTTGTTACCAAGGCAGGGCCTGTACCGAACTGACTGACACAGACGAGATTTCGAGAGTGGACAGGCGATTGGAAGAGCAGAGGTCATGGCTAATGGCTGACGACTGGGCTTCCCCTCCAGGAGCTTGTGAGACAGAGCAGCAGAGGTGGAGAGCAGAGAAGCACAGCCTCACGGTGGGGGGCGGGGGCGGGGGGCCTCTTCAACAGCTGTCACCACCCTGGCGGAAAGATTTCAGAGGAGGCAATGTGGTCACGAGACTGAACATGGCCAGGCTGTGAGACAGGCTGGCTGCATTTCATCTTTCCTCCACCAGCCAAGGTCCCCCTTCCCTACCTGCCCTCGGGTGCGCTCCCAGACTCACAGCAGTCCCCACCCACCCCCACCACCATGCAGGAACTCGGCTAATCCTTTAAGAGCCCAGATCATGATTGAAACTGTGTGAGCCACTCACTCCTGCCCGACTCTTTGTGACCCCCACGGATTGCAGCCCACTAAGGCTCCTCTGTCTATGGGATTCTCCAGGCAAGAATGCTGGAGAATTCATTCAAGAATGCTGAAGAATGCCATTCCCTTCTCCGGGGGATCTTCCCAACCCAGGGATTGAACCCAGGTCTCCTGCATGGCAGGCGAATTCTTCACCATCTGATCCACCAGGGAAGTCTGATTCAAACTAGTATTAACATGTATTGCACTATTTATCCAAGAGTTAATCCATTCCCCTTTCTACCAGTGCCTTCCACCTCTCATGTGGTAATGAATATATAAATTTTCAAATGCTTTTGGTCTGTATTTTTATAAACTCACATAGAGAAAGATGCTGAAATTCTAAGTGTACAATTTAGCAAATTATCAGCAGGCCAAGACTCCTATAATTATCACTCAGTTGCCATGCCCTCCACCAGGGGATCTTCCCAATCTAGGGATCGAACCCACGATTCTTTACGGGCTGAGCCACCTGGGAGCCCTTGGTAAGTTCTTGCAGGATGCTACACTGTTGTAACTTCCAGCTGAGACCCAGAGGCTCATGGAGGCTGTATTCCTCAGTAATGAGCACAAAACCAGTCACATGACTCTGAAAACCCAGAGCCACTTGAGAGTCTAGAAGGAATGAGCTGTTGGGTATTAGAGAAGATCTGTAAAGAGGGTCTCTTTGGAGAAGACTGAGCTAACAGTACCCACTCCCCCACCCAAGAAGGGGGAACTGGAGCTGCTTCTTCCTTCCTTCCATCAAGAGACAGGCTTCCAAGAGACCAGGTGGAGTGCTTGACATGAGGCCCTTGCCATAAAGGGGACCCAGTGGACTGACCGCTCAGGAAATCTTGAGGACAAGAAATCAAACTCCGGTAGGATTGTTTAATTAATGATCTATTCTTGGAAAAACTACCTAGAAAAAGGATTAAGTTCAGCACAGTGCCTGGCGCACACGGGATGCTCTCTGCCCACCATAACAGTCTTTGAAATTATTCTTGCCCTTGGACGTCAGGCTTGGTAAAGGCGTAAACCCCTCCCAGAGAAGGTTTCACTGCTTCATGACAGCTTATTGGGTAATTTGGGGCTGGGTCTTGGTTCTTGAACTTCCCTGGTCACTCAGACGGTAAAGTGTCTGCTTGCAATGTGGGAGACCCAGGTTCAGTTGCCAGGTCGGGAAGATCCCTTGGAGAAGGAAATGACAACCCACTCCAGTACTCTTGCTTGGAAAATTCCATGGATGGAGGAGACTGGTAGGCTACAGTCCATGGGGTTGCAAAGAGTCGGACACGACTGAGAGACCTCACTCTCACTCTCTCTTGGTTCTTGGAGAGCTGTCATTACAAGCATAGCAGCGGCACTCTGTGAGATCTGAAGGGAACAAATCTAGACATCTCTTCCACAACCCATCTCTGCCTCTAAACATCCTCCCCTGCCACTTTCGTAAGTTCCATCATTCACCTTCCTTTGGATATTACCCTAAAAGCTGCTTTTGACCACAGAGGACACAGCACATTGACCTATGGTTTAGGGCCTTGGATTGCTCTGGGCTATTTTCTGCCATTTTCTTTCGAGCTGCCTGGCACCTTACCTCCTTCCATCCCATGGTGGGGGTGCCCCACCACAGGAACCTCAGTCGACAGAGCACAGGCAGGGCTGTGCTGGAGGGACATTCACCAGCCCATCAGAGCTGAGATTCCTAAATTCTCAGGAGTCTTTTGAGCTGGGTGTTAAGTGGTTTTCAGATAAAAATCAGTCATGGTGGGAATTTTGACACCGTGGAAGTCAGCAAGTTGCCACAGATCAGAGTTTTTCCCACTGGAGAAGAGATCGTTAAAAATTTACCAACCCATCGCTAGGCACTAACCGCATCACCAAGGCTGAGCCAGTTGATCCCATCTGAGGCTCTGAATCTGGAGAAAGTTATCTGAGATGAAGGGACAGACAGAACCCACTTCCTGCAGCAGCCTCTAGCCATAGCAGGAGTATCTACTTGGGGGGTGGCAGTGCCCGGGGAGCCCTGGCATGACCTCGCCCAGGTCTTCCTTCTGCCTGATTTCCTTTCTTTCTGCCCAGCTTCCAAGCCTCCTTCTCCTGCCTTCCCATCAATTCCAAGAGTTTTCCTTTTCTGCTAAGTGAACCAGAGTCAGTTCCTCCCGAGGGGTCTGCCAGGAATAGACGGCTAATCACCTATACACAGAGGTCCCCAAAGGAGGAGAAGCAACTTTCATTTATGGAGTACCTACTGTGTGCCAAGCAGCAGCTATATAACAATATGCCATTAATTCTTCTGTGGATTGTTCCACTGTCATGAATTCATACCACTCTCCTGATCAATATTGGAACCCCACAATAGGTAAAGTGCTGTGCAAGAAACTAAGGGACGTACTGACAAAGTTGAACAATCTGTACCACCCTTCCGGAATTTACGGTTTAGCTGGTGACATTGGTATGTGCTCACAAGGCTGAATATCTGTCTGGACACAAGTTCTCACTTGTAAGGAGTATGGGGAGCTCCAACTTCCAATTTGGGGGATCAGGGGAGGCTTTCTGGAGAAAGTGGGATTTGAGCAGAGCCTCTACCATGGTCACGTGTGTGTGTGTGTGTGTGTGAAGAATGTTATTTCCTTTATCCGTTGGGTTTTTTTTTTTTTAAGTAAAATAGTTTTCTACTGGAAAATCCCATACATTCATTTCCAGAAAGGGTTCAGCAACATACAGAGAACATAACCTGTGAAGGGAGCCGCCTGCAGCCCCACCAGCCCCAGGTGACCACACGGAGCAGGGCCACCGGCGCCTTTCGTCCCAGCTGCACAACCCTGCTCTGCATGCTGTTGTACAACCAGCTGTTTTCACTCAACAGTATATCATGGATGTTTTTCCATGCCAATTATTCCCAATCTACATCATATTTAAGTGGCTGGAGAGTATTCCCTTATACGGATGTACTCTAAATTAATCAAATCCCCATTGATAAACATTCAGTGTTGCAGGCAAGGGCAGGGAGTTAGGAGCCCCAGAGTCCAAGCATGCATCTTGGCTCTGCCACTGCCCAGCCGGCTGTACTTGAGAGGAAAACTAACCTCTGACTACAGGTTCCCTTTCTATAAAATATGGGTACTAAGAATACCCACTGCAGAGAAATGTCACGAGTAGGTATTTGTCAAACTTTGTAATGGCTTCCAGCACATAGTAAATGCTCAATTAAAACCAACTGTTGTTGCCATCATATAGCAGGGTTGTGACCACCATCTGAATACATATTCCCTACTACCTGTGCTGCTGTGCTTAATCGTTCAGTCGTGTCTGACTCTTTGCAACCCCATGGGCTGTAGCCTGCCAGGTTCCTCTGTCCATGGGGATTCTCCAGAAGACCGGAGTGGGTTGCCACGCCTTCCTCCAGGGGGTCGTCCCAACTCAGGGATGGAACCCAGGTCTCCTTCACTGTAGGAGGCGTCTTTACCATCTAAGCCACCAAGGAAGCCCCTCCCCACCACTACCTACGTAGGATAAAAATTTGAAAGTTAAAGTCACTCATCAGGACTCTTTGCGACCCCATGGACTATAGAGTCCATGGAATTCTTCAGGCCAGAACACTGGAGTGGGTAGCCATTCCCTTCTCCAGGGAATCTTCCCAACCCAGGGATCGAACCCAGGTCTCCAGCACTGCAGGCGGATTCTTTACCAGCTGAGCTACCCCCATTACCTACTTAGGATAAAACTTACAAGAGGAATGAAACAGTTAAACGGTAAACATATTTTTAAAATCCTAATAAGCATCACCCAACTGCCCTCCAGAAATGTCCCCAGCGTCGCAGGGCAGGAGACCTGGTGTTGGCAGGAGGCAGTGAGAAAAGGCAGTCCCGGCCTCTTGGCCTGGAGCTTTGTCACCCTCACGAGTCACCAGCAAACCAGCCGATGAGGTCTCCTGACTCGCCCAG